TATCCCTCAGTTAGACCCACACTCGGAGCACCGTGCGCAGTTCCGGTGTCCGTATCCCTCAGTTAGACCCACACTCGGAGCACCGTGCGCAGTTCCGGTCTCTGTATCCCTCCGTTAGAATGAAATTCCCTCCCTAAGGGACATTGTGGGTCAGCCCTACAGCACATGGACTGCAGCGGTTCAAGAAGTCAGCTCACACCCACCTTCTCAAAGGGGGCAACTAGGGACAGGGCAATAAATGCTGGGCCCAGCCAGAGGCACCCATGTCCCACAAATGGAGAAAATAGTTACGAGCATGAAAATGAAAAGGCACCAGGGTAGAGTCAGTCATGGATTTATTCAAGAGATTGAGTCAGCTCAGTGACTGAAGAGTTGTAGCTCTGATCAGGAGAGTGCTGCATGCGTATCCATCCATCCCTCGGTGCGATAGTGAGGGGGGAAGAGTGAGGAAGGACCCTGCGTTTGTCCAGTTGTGTGTGTACTTGGAGTATCTGAGCCCATATGGTGTCAGATCAGCTCAGAGACCCATCCCTTCCCTCAAGATAGACCACGAGATCAGCCCATCCTCTGTGTGTGGAGCTCAGGCCCACGAGGAGAATGCCTGGTGAGTATCTAGAATTACAGCGCAGATTTTCCATTGGAAGAAATTTATTCAGCGTAAATAAACGCAGGACAGCCGACGCTGGAGATCATATCGCTTTCAGAAAATCATGCAGCTAGCAGCAGGAGCTGAAGGTATGGTTAAGTATAGACTATCTACTTTATAAATAACTGTGTGTATGGGACACATGGCCTTCACTCATGAAACAGAACAGCAGGAGGCGTTAGAGTTCCCAACTCTCGCAGATCGATGTAAAATCGGGCAGGGAGGCATCGTCTATTTCATGAGGCTGTCAGTAATAGAGTTCTTTATCCCACCAACCTGCACAGAGAGAGAGAGAGAGACAGATCAGTTTATACACCCTGCCCAGGCAAGATTTACTCTCCCTCTAACCCTGTGCTGTCCCTGTCCTGGGAGTGTCTGATGGGGGGACAGTGTAGAGGGAGCTTTACTCTGTATCTAACCCCGTGCTGTCCCTGTCCTGGGAGTGTGTGATGGGGGACAGTGTAGAGGGAGCTTTACTCTGTATCTAACCCCGTGCTATCCCTGCCCTGGGGAGTGTGTGATGGGGGACAATGTAGAGTATATTGAGAGGTGGTTTGTGGAATACTCACTTCCTGGATGTCTCCGAACTCCGAGTTTCCGGATCTCGTCGTAGACGAATATTAAGATCCCAAAGGGGATGGGGACGACCCACCATTGGCCGCTGTGAGGAGGAGAAAAGCAGGTTTAACGCAAGGTGGAACCCTCAGTCCCTGGTGGGTTCTGCCTCACCCTATAGGGTGCGTGCTCTCCCAATGGGTGCTGCAAGACAGGACGTGGCCCCCAGCCACCTGGCGGGTGGGCAGACAGATGGGTCTTTAAGGGGATTCTTGGACGCAGAGGGAAACGGGTGTAGGGAGGGAATTCTGGAGCTCAGGACCCCAGGCACACC